GTAAAAATATTACAGAATATAGACCAAATATGAAAAAGATGCATATAATGTGTACTCTTTGGAAACTTGTTTGTAGTTAAGGAACCATTCAGTTCGATTGAACAACTATGCATTGACCATTTACATCTCCAGAGCCCAAATGTGTGCTGTGGCTGCTGCCCCTTGACCCCATTAAACAGACTGATCCTTCTCCAGTCTCTTTATTTTCCCTTTCCCTCTTTTCTGTATTCTGGAATAGGAGAGAGCAAAAGAAAAAAAGGCTGTGGAATAGGCAAAAGCCATATTGTGCCGTGATTGAATTATTTTGTATCGGTCAACACCTTCCAGAATGTTTGCTGAAGATCACCAGTAACACAAAAGATCACCACTTAATAGGCGTTCTGCCAAAACCAGGGCAATGAGAGAGTTCTGTAGGAAACCCCGAATTAAAGAAAATTAAGCAGATTACCATTGCTAGGCTTCATGAAAATCTTTAAAATTCTGCCGTGCATTGTGGGAAACAGAGTATATGCACTGTTACCTAAAACTTAGTTGATCATGAAATACTTGTTCCTCTGAAAAGACGCTAGTATGGAAAGATAAACGCCCTGAGAGCAAGCAGGAATGCTGCCTTTGGCCTGAGAAGTATGGGATCTTTGGAACTCATGCTAAAGGGACTCCAGAGCAAATAGAAACCAGCCATTGTGAAATTTTTGAGGAACCTCCACATTGTTTTCCAGAAGGGTTGCACCCCTCTATGACCCAGCAATAGCACTGCTAGGAATTTACCCAAGGGATACAGGAGTGCTGATGCATAGGAGCACATGGACCCCAGTGTTCACAGTAGCACCCTCAACAATAGCCAAAACATGGAAAGAGCCTCAGTGTCCATCAACTGACGAATGGATCATGAAGATGTGGTTTATCTATACGATGGAATACTACATGGCAATGAGAAAGAATGAAATCTAGCCATGTGTAGCAACATGGATGGACCTTGAGGGTGTTATGCTGAGCAAAATAAGTCAGGCAGAGAAGGACAAATACCATATGTTTGCACGTATAGGAGGATTAGGAGGCACTTAACGGAGGACCATGGGGGAGAAGAAGGGGGGAAATAGTGGGGGAAAGAGAAATAAACCATGAGAGAGTCTTGAATGCTGAGAACAAACTGAGGACTGATGGGTCGGGGTGGGGGGGGAGGGAGATGGACATGGAGGAGGGCACTTGTGGGGATGAGCACTGGGTGTTATATGGAAACCAACTTGACAATAAACTATTTGTAAAAAAAAAAAAAAAAGAAAGAAAGAAAGAAAAGAAAAAAAAAAGAGAGAGAGAGAAGAAAAGAAACCAGCCATGGTTTCCTCCTAAGAATACTCCTAAGAATACTTCCATTTCAGACCTACCTTTCTATTTGGGTTAGGAGAGAGAACCAATAATCCAATTGATGCTTTTCCTTTTGGAATTTCTAAGAAGCTCTTTCATGAAGAAAAAATAAAAATAAAGGAACTTTTAGGAGTTATTCTCTGTCAGCTGCTTGTGAATTGGATTTAGAGCTTTAGAGATGACTGTCAGTGACTAGCCTTCACTGTCATTATGGCCCACATGACTTCTGAAAACTATCATTGTTATTTTTAGTGATATTTTGATGACAGAACTTGTCTTCTCTCCCTCTCTCTCTCTTAAATTTCATTTTGGCTACTGAGACAGAAAGAGTACCATCTCTGGTCTCTTTCTTCCCACCTTGCTGTTTCTTTGGTTACTTTATCCCTCCTGCTCAGAATGTCCTTTTCTCCCCTATACGCATATCTGAATTCTGTCCTTCCCACTTCAGTTTCAGAAGCAGTAATTTCTCTCTTCTTTTCATACCAAAAGCACTTTTCCTTTTGCCTTGCTTAACAGTACCTCTAATGCCATGCCACATTGGACAATTGATGTCCACTTCCTACTGGTTTGGGAGTACCAGAAGACAGATACCACGTCTTAGACATCTCTCAGTCCTCTACCTGGCCTCATCTAGTTGTTGTACAGAGTAGTTATTCAGATGATGCATTGATGAAAGAGTGGTTAATTGTTTTTAGTGTCTTACCTCCTCTCAGTTATTGGTTGTATATTACTAAGCAAATATGATAGGAAAATAAAAGTGGTAGAAAGTATTGCCTAATTGACTGGTTCTTCACAGCATCCCTGATAAATAATAGGAAATAGGAAAACATTTATTAAAGCAAGTGTTGAATTTAGACAGTCCTTCTGCCACTCTGGAAGTGTGAACAACTGTGCTCTTCTGTACATAGGAGACACCTTCATATGCGGTATTTGAGTACCAGGATTCAGCTGCTCTGTTTCCCTTGTCATTGTCTCTCAAAAGGTTCTATGGGTCATCTCTTTCTAACAAACATTGTTAGTGCTCTCGTCAAAACTCCGTCCAGCTTTTCTAAACCTCACAATTTTGTAGTTCTCCAAATTGGATGGAATTGTTAATTAAGGGTCAGGCCAGTACTAAATATAGTAGGGGAATTACTCTTGTGTGTTAACATATGCTAGAGGCTCTAAGTTACAAACATCCACCTTTCAAGTGTCTGTTACTGCTCTGACCACATCTTGCCACCAGTCCCCCCACTGTCACTGCCCTGGAAGCTGCCACATAAATGCAAAAAGCAATTTATAGCTTAGGAAAATCTGTAGACAGAGATGTGAAGGAGAGAAAGCTGATCTGCAAGAGGAATTGCTTAGCGTTGCTGACCCCAAGGACAGCCTTCAAGGCCTCAGTGAACTGTCTCTTCCCACTACCTACATTTAGTATGCCTTGTTAAGCTACCTGAGATTCCAGCGATTAGAGGAGTATAACCATTTCTCCTTCTCCCAGTTTGATTACTGTATATTGAGAGAGGAATAGCCTAACTAGACTATTGGTTCTCTTTCTCAGATGTACCAACAGTATGAGCTACTCACTATCTGGCCATGTGAACCAAATTCAGGAACCTGGAGAGGTTCTAGACAGCCTTGCGGTCACCTCTCCTTTCCTCAGCCCAGCCTCCCCATCCCCCACCACCAGCTTTTACTGTGCTTATCTGCCCACACCATTTGCCGTGCTCCCATCAGAAACTGCACACTATTAGTGGGATATCTGAATTGTACAATTAGGCAGGGCTGGGAGGGGGGGAGGGGCAGGGGAAAAGTGTTCACACAGCAATTAATTAGTAAAGTCATTGGTATTGTCTAGCACGTGTGGTACGTAGTCAGTAACGTCTGTAGTCATTAGGTACTGGATCCAATATTCTCTGAGGTAAGTCTCAGTTATGAAGTATGCAAGACATGACACTGGCCCAGAGCTGGTGACTTCTGTACTCCGCTTAGCCTGGGGAAGGACCCACATAATGGAAACATTCCCTGGACTATCTCACAGGAAGAGCTAAAAGTCCACCAGCCAGCAGGAAATTCAGGCCTGTCTGTCTCTTCCACTGATCCGTCTTAAGACTTTCCTTGCAGCCATTGCTTTCAAATTTTCGCCGTTAACAGAAGTGCTGCTCAGAGGGAGGGAAGGAAGGGGTTGAGGCTTCCCCCCACTTTGTTCCTTTTTCCTCCCTTCATGGAGGCCCTCAAGGGCCTTTGGAACAGAATGGAACCACTGGATAGCCCGTTTACCATGCTAGGCATTTCCTTTGCTTATTAATTATTATATCTTGTTTTCCAAATAACTCTTTCTGCACCAGTATATGTGATGAAGTTATTTTACTAATCCCTGGAAGTTTTGGTTTTTTTTTTCTTCAACAAGTTGGTAGCCACTCTTTTGGGAAAAGCATTAACATGCATAAGCACTATAGTCAACTTCAGTGCTCATTAATGAAGCCCAGAACTAATAGTTACATTGTCGTAATTTGACAAAGCCATCTAAATCTATGCATGTTTTTTGAAAGCTCCCTAAACATGCTGCTAAATCCCCTAAAAAGCTACTAAACTGCTTTGGCAGCCATTAGCCCAGCATAAGCAGAGGAACTCTTTTCAGTAAGTGAACAAACAGAGAAAATATGCTGAATGGCTGGACAAATGTGTTTCAGCTGGCCCTTTCACTTACCGATATAAAGGTGCAGTCAGTATCAATCACTGTTTTCCCTGTTGCCCTGAAAATCACAATATCTCTTTTCATCCCACAGGCTCTTTTCACCACAGTAATGTGTCTTTAGAATGACACTGGCATCAGCCTGCTTCCGCTGTCTGAAGTCCAGAGAGCTTAAAAATACATTTCAGGATTCAAGACTTGAACCTTCCTCCCCTTCCGTTTTCCTACCGCCCACTCTGTCCTCCCTCCCTCTGCATCCACTCCACCGCCCCCCCCCCCCCCCCCCCCCCCCCCCCCCCCCGCCGCCCCATTCTTTTCAATTCTTGCAGCTTTCCTCACTGGGTAAACAAAATTCACTTCTCTGTTCTAATGCAGCTCTCCAGAGTAAATGTAGAAAACTATCTGATATTCCCAAGATTTAAGAACTTGTTCAATAGATGCACATAAAGAAATGCTTTTACATGTCGGTAATACATCAAAGGTTGAAAGGAATGTGGAAATTCTATGCCATGACAAGGTGTGCTGATGAGCAGGACTTCACTGTATATCGGAGTATCTCGCTCCTCAGCCCTCACCCCCTATCACTTGGTTCTTACGTGCCTTCACTGCACATACACACTCAGCTTTTGTCATCTTGTATTAGAAGCATGTGCCTGCGTGTCTGTTCCACCTTGACAGTTGTGGGCTTCTTAAGAACAAATGCCTTATGTTATATATCTTTTTGCCGCTCCTGATTCCGAGTACGTAATACCTTGTTTTGGAATGAAGGTGATTACTTTTTGTCCTTTTGAAAACTGAAGTGGAATAACCATGAAGATAAATGCTGGCAGAGGTGCTTCTAGTTGAGGAAGCGGTTACCATAGATGAATATTTGAAATATTACATTTTACAAAACAGTGTTGATTGCCTTTTCTCTCCCTTTTTTTGTGTTGTATGTCTGTTTTTGTATGTTTTGCTTCAGATTATAGCCGTCTGTAGAGAGGCTGCTCTTCTGGCTCTGGAAGAAGACATTCAAGCCAACCTCATTATGAGAAGACATTTTACTCAAGCCTTGGGCATTGTGACACCCAGAATTCCTAAATCATTGAGACGTTTCTATGAAGAGTATCAAGAGAAGAGTGGGCTGCATACACTCTGAGAAAGCATGCATATTCAGTATGCTAAAAACGCTTTCTAGAGAAAACTCGTTTCTTTTTTAAACTGTCTTGAGAGTGTCCAGAACAACTCCTCATAAGCAAAACGTCTGAAGTTGAGAGGCTTCAGTGTTTAAAGACATTTTAAATCCTATGGATACAATGAAAACGTCCATGAAAAATCTCTGCACACAAGTTTAAGTCAGTTTTATCTGGAAATGTGTGCTAAGTTTTAAAAAGCAAACTTCAGCTTTTTCGTTTTTGACCTAGTTTATGCATCTCATGAAATGCTTTCCTCACTCCAGAATCTGTTTCGCGGCATTGCTAAATGCAGGCTGTGCGCATCAGTTTTATACAAGAACATAGAAATTGTTCATGTGGATTATGGCACCTGAGTGGCTCAGTCATTGAAGTCTCCAACTCTTGATTTCAGCTAAGGTCATGATCTCACAGTTTGTGAGTTCAGGCCCAACATAGGGCTCTCCACTGGCAGTGTGGAGGTTGCTTGGAATTCATTCTCTCCCTCTCTTCCTCCTCTCTCTCTCTCCCCCCTTCCTTCTCTCTCTCTTTTCCTCTCTCCCTCCCCCATGCCTCCTACCACTTAGTCCTCTCTCTTTTAAAATAAATAAGAGAAAATGCATGAGGATTAATCTATAGTGAGAAATATTTGCAGATCATTATTTTTTTTAAAGGCCAGCCAGTGAAATAAACAAATGTACCAGCCAAACTTATGTGGCCTTGTTTCCAGATATGTATTTGTTTTTATTATAATTCACACCTACATGTTTGCTTTGGCCTTCTTAATCTCTGCTTATGGCAATAAAAAAGGAGAGAGAGAGAATTGATAGTTATTTCATGTAATGCCCCTTGCCAAGTTTAAAAAATTGGAAACATAGGGGCACCTGGGTGGCTCAATCAAGTGTCCAACTTCAGCTCAGGTCATGATCTCACGGTTCATGATTTCGAGCTCTGTGTTGGGCTCTGCTGACAGCTCAGAGCCTGGAGTCTGCCTCTGATTCTGTCTGTCTGTCTGTCTGTCTCTCTCTCTCTCTCTGCCCCTCCACCACTCATGCTCTCTCTCTCTCTCAAAAATAAACATTAAAAAAAATTTTTTTAATTGGAAACATAAGCCCAGTCTAGGCCTAGAGCAATAGACTTGTTTTGTTTTGTTTCGTAAAATAAAAATAAATTGTATGTTCATGTTTTAATTTGCACACATTTTCAGGTTACCAATAAACTTTTTCATTTCAAAGAAAAACCAAATTGTACTGTTAGTCATATTATCTTATGCTGCGTTCTAAATATGTGTATTTGTGCTCTTAATTATTTATCCTTGGACTTTCTTGACACTTTAATAATCCATAAATATCTATGAAAAACTATCAGAAATGGATTCCCTGACTTCCAGTGCAGAAGCTGGCAAAGGAAAGAATGTGCACTTACACGTGCGCACTGTAGATCTTTGAAAATTTCCAGAAAGACAAGTCAGGCAAGAAATACCTGATTGTCAAAATAAAAGGACTATACAGTTTTGTGGTGGTAGATGTTCTGAAGTCATGTCTCAACTGTCTTATCCTTTGACTATCAAAAATAGATTTGCAAGGCATTTTTTTCCCAGACTACCTTGGTTTATTAGTGTATACACAAAATCACCCAGGGGACAAAGAATATTACTACTGTTGAGAGCTCTGTTATCAAATAGACACTAGTCACATATGACTATTTAAGTTTAAACTTCAATGAGTTAAAATTAAATAATATTAAAAATTTAGTTCACCAGACACGTTAGCCACAGTTCAAGTGTTCAGTAGCCATGTGTGGCAAATGTCTGCATGTGGACAGAATAGATTGTAGAACATTTCCATCACTCAGAATGTTCTGTTGGTTTCTGCTGATTTAGAATAGAAGGCTCACACAACGAAATAAATAAGACCTCGAAATTACCTTAATGCTTCCCATTTTCCCTTTAGTTATTAGAGGACCATAATTTATTCCCTGTAAGTGCCGGGGGCACAAAACAAATAAGAGAATAATCTTATCCCCAAAGGCCTAAACAGAAAAAAATCTTAAGTTCTCGTTGCCAATAAAATAAAAAACCACAACAGCAATCTTCACCTGACATAGGCTCTCAGACTGGAGGCTGGATGATGGGGAGGAAGGGGGGAATCTCTACAAGGAGTTCATATGTTAATGGCCGCTCAGACCCTTCAACCCGTGTGAAGTACGAAGTTATAACTGAGCCTCATATAGAATGCCCAGGTCATTAAAGACCACCACCTTCAGTGTAAGGGCAGACTAGAGAAGAAATCCTTCTGCCGGCCAGAGAGGCCACATGGAGCCCTCTTGACTTAATCCGTGCTTTGGATTAAAAAAGAAAAAAAGAGGCTCCTCTGAGAATTCTGACTACGAGCTTACCTGACCACAGCTTCCAGGTTTGAATCTGCACAACCTTTGTGATACAGAAGCTTGAAGCCTAAAAATTAACATGAAAATATGGATCCAAGTTAGAGATATACTTGGGGTGACTAGCAGTTGCAGTAGTCGGAGGAACATACCCTCACCCACGCCACAGAGGATTCCAATGGCCGAAACCCTGCTTACAGAGTGTATAATCCCCCAGGCTGTGGAGCACGGGAGCCTCACACTCTGCTGCGGAGCATAAACTGGTACAGCTACTTTGGAAAGCCAGCTAGCATATCTAGTAATGTTAAAGGTTCTATAAATTAAGGGTTCTCTTTGTGTATATCTCAGAGCAAGTTTGTTTCCAATTATATATATATATATATATATATATATAACAGGCTTTTAGGACCCAAGAAACACAAGAGAAATTTGTTGGTGAGAGTCCATGTTTAGGTGATCCATGTCTTACAGCAGGGATGGGAGAAATCGAGTCTGGAGTCAGCTATCTGTTTCCATGGCACTGATCACACAGGAGTAGGAAGTTAAGGATGTAAAAACATTTTAGAGCATTACATCTTTAACCTATTACAAACCAATTATTTTTTAATATCTTTAGATAGCTATTACCATTGAAAAGGCAATGATCTTTCTTTATTTGAAGTGTGTACGCTTTTAATAACCATACCAGGAGAAAATAAGAGTCCCAGAAAAGAGCGGGTGGAGTGTCACTAAGTACAGTTTACCCTGGTGTCATCTGCATGAGGCTTTTACTTCTGATTCCAGGGTGTCATATGTATGGATTTAAAATAGTGTGTGATCCTATTATTGGGGTTTGTTTGTGATTGAATTACACAGTATAGTTCATGGAACATTTAGGAAAATGTCCAGCTTCCTGTCTTAAGAAAACAGTTTGCTTTATTGGCATCTGGTCAAAACTTTGTCGTTGATCCAGATTCTCTTCGGGGTCTCGGGATACTCACACTGACATGTGTTTTTTAGTGTTCTAAGAGGTTTTAGTTCAAATAATGAAATTAGTGTTTCTATCTAACAACAATACTTAGAAGAATGGTTTCTAGCTTTTACTCCTCTATGACCAGGATAGTGTGTAAGCTTATTACTGACTGCCCTAACTTTGCTTGAAAAATGTTCAGTTCTGTGTTGTTTCTAATGTATTAAACAGGTTTTTTAAAGTAATGTATAGATTTTCCACTGTGGAAAAATAATTATTGAATTTGTAGAAAAACCAAACTTGAGTATATGTTTAATTTATCTTAATCAGGAAAAGGCTACAGAAAAGCTGCTGTAAAGGTAGAATGAAGTTGTTACTTAAATTTCAGAACTTTACGTTGTTAGAGTTTTGGTTTGTTTTGTCATGTTTTCCTGAGTCCTTCTGTTAAAGATGAGCACATACCAAAGCACCCTTGGAAATTATATATAGGTTGAATCAGCAGTAATTTTCAAATATGGTCCACACAGAAGTTCTTTTTTTTTTTAATTTTTTAATGTTGTTTATTTTTGAGAAAGAGAGACAAAATGTGAGTGGGGGAGGGGCAGAGAGAGAGGGAGACACAGAATCCGAAGCAGGCTCCAGGCTCCGAGCTCTCAGCACAGAGCACGAACGCAGAGCTCGAACTCTTGAACCGTGAGATCATGACCTGAGCCAAAGTCAGACACTTAACTGACTGAGCCACCCAGGCGTTCTAGGTCCACACAGAAACTCTAATGCCCCAAATGGATTTGCTTTCCTTCCTTCAGTTTTCATTATAATAGTTGTATGCATGGATAGGCTTTGCACCTAATATCTATGTCAAATATACTCCAGTAGGCTATAACCTTTTAGGACTCACTTTTGGGGAAAAGAATTCATTCTAGAAAATTTAGGCAGAAAGAGATGTTACAAGGTTTTAAATGGTTTACAAAATCATTGGGAAATTGTAGACTCCTCTTTCAAGACTTAAGTGATAAACATTTCTGGAAAGATGTTTAAAATGAAGCACTTAAAACACCACACACAATAGGACCCAAGGAAATGAAAAGAAAGATAAATAGTTTATTTGTGCTGAAATCAGGGAACAGATAAACCTCAGGTTAAGTATTTCAGAGGCTATCCAGAAAGTACAACACACTTTGGACCAACTTACGAAGAATCCAGGAAGTACAGTGTATACTTTGCTTGAGAAGACGTATGATAGGGAATATTTGGTTTCAAGACACCATCAGTTGTAAGACTATTAATTTAAAAATATCCTTTTTTGGAAAATAAATAAATTTCTGTGATTTTACTATTAATATTATTACAACCTGATTTCAGAAATAGTAAAATGTGAAAACCACTAAGATCAGTCAAATACTGTTAAGTGAGATGGGAACTGACATGTAATAATAATATGTTCATATATTTGTCATAAAGCCACAGCAATTAAAATACTATCTGCAGCAACATAATCATAAAAAATAATAAAAATGTTGACAGGTAAAAGGAGAGTCAAGGATAGGGGACCCAGATTATTTGGGGTCCAGGAATCATCACAGCTTGAAAAATCCCAGAGGAAAATAGCAGCAGGGGAAGGATGCCAGAAATCTGGGGGGAAAGGTTGAGAGTCGGGACAAAGTACCAAAAGATACTTTGTGAAGTATTTATTATAGTCTTATTTGTTACAATAACAAAATATTAGAATAATTCAAGTATCTGTCAGTAGGGCTACTTTATTACCGTGTGCCCACAGTCCATACAGTGGAACATTATAGTGTGGTAAAAAAAAAAAAAGAAAGAAAGAAAGAAAAAGGAAAGAAAGAAACTCTACAAATTGATCTCCAAGATACAGAGAATCTAAATACCTTATAACAAATATATGTCTCACCTATTTAGAAGTTCAAAATTCATCTTAAAATGATTCTTTGGTCAAAGGGGAAGTCAAAGTCAAAACAATAGAATGTCTGGAAAATAATCATGAAAATACTATATATCAGAATCTATGGGATTCAATTAGCACTCTACACAGAGGATAGTTTATAAATCTAAACATTTTCATTAACAGAATA